GTTATCCGAACTTTCACCTTGTTGGTAAGGGTTCGATTCCCCACTTTGTAATCCCCTCCCCTACCCCTACCCCCTATGTATAATAATAACTTTTTTAAAAGTACGTTTCTTACCATTGCTGCCATTACTTCAAAGCCTTATGATGTTGTTAGCTTCACAAGCTGTTTCATGAAGGTCAATTCCTTTTCACTAACTGGCCGCTAAATGAACGAGATATGAAGACTCTCTGAATGTACTTAGAAGAATTAATGAAATGAATCAAATGGAGGGGTGAAAAAGATATCAACCCAATACCATTTCCTGGGCACTCAGCTGCCAGGGTTTGCCAGGCTTGTTCGAGATCGTGAAAGATCTTTGAATGAAGCAGAACTTTTTTTATGTCCGAGAAATCCGTCTGTGGCCGGCCTTTAGAACCATCTGCAGCCTACGAAACTCGGGCATAATGGGCCCGCCTCTCTACCCAGCTCCACTTAAATACCAGGCTTAGTTTGCATGGCGCAGAACTCGAACCTGTGACCTAAATCACAAGTTCCTCACCCTTTTCCACGCATTCAATGAAAGAGCTGCTACTGCAGTAGTGAACCAAAATGTGGTTTTATTATGGGATTTCTATTATGACATGTGATGAGCTGGCAGGATTGTGTTTGATCTGCTGATGAAGGAGCAGCAGTCTTGTTTTTTCTTTCAAAAACTTGAAAGGAAATTGATAGCACCAATTTTGGACGAAGATCAAATCAAACCAGCAAAACCTATAAGATATAAAACTCTGCAGGATGGAAGTTGCTCTGCCTATATCAGTCCCCAAACTTTAATGCTTTCTAAATCCATGGAGCAGTTTGACACCTTAGGCTATGTCATCTAAGTTTTTCAGATTTTAAATGTTGCCTAATATTTTGCGGTCTAAACCATGTCTTGAGTATTCAAGTTTTTACCACATATTGAAGCCGGTNATTGAAGCCCACATTTCCAGTTTCCTTATTTTTTTCTGGATTGTCTTTCTGTGACAGGAAGATCGCAGATCCGGCATTTGTATACAAGCTGCTTCTGGAGCAGGCAACTACAATTGGTTGCTCAGTGTGGTGGGAGATCAAAAACCGTAAGGAAAGGTACTTTGTTTTTTTACCTTTTCTTTTAATATTCTATTGGTTAAATTTTTTTATTTGGGGGCCGGGGTGGGTTTTGGGGGGGGGGGGGTCTTGACAGCTTTCTTCAAGCCACCCCACCTTGGGCAATCTTACCTGGTTCAGAAATGTTAAAAGCTAATAAAACTCACTACAAGAGGATTGACTTAGTGCACATGTTTTGTTTTACTCTGATCTAGGATTAAACAGGAGTGGGATCTTGCACTTCTTAACGTTCTAACTGTAACGGCTTGCAATGCTGCTGTTGTTTGGACACTTGCTCCTTGTCATTCCTATGGGAATACATTCCGCTTCGATTTGCAGAACACATTACAGAAGCTTCCGAACAATATCTTTGAAAAAAGTTATCCTTTAAGAGAATTTGACTTGCAGAAGAGAATTCATTCTTTTTTCTATAAGGCAGCAGAGTTGTGTATGGTTGGACTCAGTGCAGGAGCAGTGCAAGGGGGTCTATCAAATCTTCTTGCCAGTAAAAAAGAGGGAAGGTAAGCATTTTTTGGCATATGGGTCATTTAATTTCTCCATTTAAGTTTCATTCATGTAAGGGAAATGTATAAGTATGTCATTGCTGATGGCTTCTTTCTTCCATTCACCAGGTTATCAGTGAGTATCCCATCTGTGAGCAGTAATGCACTTGGTTATGGGGCCTTCCTTGGTGTTTATGCAAACCTGCGTTACCAGCTGTTGAATGGATTTGACAGAGCTGTAATTAGTTACTTTGATGTTATTGGGGTGGCTCTCTTCTTCAGCACTGCCATGAGGTATTTAGCTGGGAAAATAGATGATATCATTACATTTTGCAAACCGCAGTTTTATCACAGTCAATTTCATGTTTTGGTAGTTTACTCGGAAAATTAGTTTTTCCCTTTTCTATTTCCTTCCTTTTCTAATATTGATACAAAAGATGATTGCCCCCAGTGTTTTGGAGAGCGTTAAGCGCAAAAAAGAGACGAGGCCTCGCTTCACAGAAGCGCGAAGCGAAGCGCGCGCTTTTTTGTTGTGAAGCGCAATTTAACACATAAATAAAAAAAAATAGGCATAGATAAATGGCATAAAGAGCACTTTTAATAACAGAAAACAGAGCATAACAGAAGAAAAAGAAGTCGTATCATGATAACATAAGAAACTTTTAATAACAGAAGAAAAAGAAGTCGTTTAGGGCAAAAAATGAGCGCTTAAAAAGTGAAAAAATTGAAAGAAGACCAGAAGAGAAGAAGAATAACAGAAGAAGAAGAAGAAACTTACCGAGATCTGGAGATGAAGTCGTCGCTGGAGTTCGCTGGGCTGGAGAAGAAGACCTTCGTATGTTTTGGTAACAGATGCCTTCTGCTCGTATGTTTATTTGCCCAAAATTTTAAAAAAAGCCCTAGCTGATGCCTTCTGCTCGCTTAAGCGAGCTTTTTCTCGCTTTTTCTAACTCGTCGCTTCTCGCTTAAGCGAGAAAAGAGCTCGCTTTTCTAATGTGAGTCGCCTTTTTACCAGAAAAGCGCTACCACTGTGCCTCGCCTCGCTTCATCGCTTAAAGCGAGAAGCAAGCGCTTTTAATAACACTGATTGCCCCTGTGAGTAAAAAGTTGGTTGTGGTCCTTTTCGGCTATAATTTGCCCTTCTGTCAGGTCTATAGTATTTTCTGAGTTCTTCAGATTCAGTACTTGATGACTGCAGTTTTAAGAGCAATTTCTGTTTCTGTAAAAGAAAGATTACCATCTGTATCCCAAGACTAGATGAAATTATATGCAATATCTTGGATTAGAGGTCATGATATATTTGTGTGTATATCGTTGATCTTGTAATAGTATTGGTGTTTACTTGATTTGATCTTTTCCAGCACTATAATATTTTTGTATTGTTATGCAGAGCCTTGAATGTTCAAGTAGGAGAGACATCAAGGCTAGCTTGGCTTGGTGTGGAGGTGGATCCATTGGCTCATTCAGATGATGTATTGAAGGCGTACAGTCGGCCTACTGAAGGTCTCGAGCAGTCATCATCAAAGTGGTTCATATCCAAGAATGCCATTGTTTCCGGGCTCGGGCTTCTTGGTATCAAACAGGGTCAGAGTAACTCAACGACTGAGGGTGAAACACCAGCAGCTCCCAAGGCTCGGAGAAAAAGAGTAGTCAAGAAAAAGGTAGCAAGCCGAGCCTAGGTGGTTGATATAGTAGGCCATCAGCTGCTCACTTTTTGCAAACCTGAGTCTTGGATGAGGATTTTTGGTCTAAAGAAGCTGAGATGCAAGTTCAGTTATGACCGTTACAGCTGGAAGTGATTCAACTGTTCCAGGATACTGGGAAAGCTGCATCTCAGTTGTTTCCTCATTCCTTTCTAGATTTTTATAACAAGATTTAAGATTGAAGTTTGCAAATCTTTTCAATGGCTAGGTTGTAGGTATATTGCTGATCAATCATTTTTTTCAGATGCTTATAGTTTCATGGCTACACCTTATCTACTTTCTTTTTCTCGCTGGTAGTGTCATGCACTAGAGCTCTATTATGAGTACGTTTACTTGCTAGGCAGGGATTGAGAAAACTTAGGCCTTTTTCATTTCTTTTTTGTTATGTTTTTCCTATTCGAATCCAACCAAGATGTACAAACTTCCACAGAAGGATTGACAGCTTATAATCTTTTCTGCCGTAGTTATTCTGTTCTGTTTGATATTTCTATTAATGTAAGCCTACTTGTGTCGTCCCTTTTAAGTGTAATATCTAAATCAAACTACGATTTAGAGTGCTAGTGAAACATCAAATTTAAGTTAGTTTGAATATCTCCAAAAAATAAAGATGCGTGATAATTATTGTTGCTTCCAAACGAACATGCAAGTATACGTGGTCGACAATGATTGTAAGTCCAGATATCGTACATACATGGACTTGTGATTAACTATCAACTAAATCAAACTAAACAATTAATCTATTCAAGCGATGGACTTGTGATTAACTATCAACTAAATCAAGCCAAACAATTAATCTATTCAAGCGAATCTTAATGTATGAATATTTAACTAAAATTAATCTAGAGTAATAAATTAAGAACTTAAAGAAAATAAGTTGGCGAATTATAGAGATAAATTCAATGCGAGTGAATATTCTGGAGCTATGGGTTAGCTAACAATCCCGTTGAGTTTTCCACTTAAATTGTCTAATTAATTTATCTCGTTTATTGGTTGACAGGGTTAATATTGCTCGTAGTCTTCTCCCGAAGTACAACTCGCCTATTCAAGCTAACCTAATGCCTATATTCCTATGGAATTAGGATTAACAAGAACACATTTATAATTTCCGTATAATAACCAAGCAAGGCGATTAGGTATATTTCTATCCTAACCGCAGATCTGCCACCTCTCAGAGTTAAGATCGTGCTCTACTCAATCTTATATGCAATCTAGAATTCTCTCTCCCGAGTTCAATACTAGATTCGTAGATAGTATTTAATTGGTGATCAAACAATTAAATAATGAAGCACAAGATTGAATAAATAAACCAATATGATAAAATAACAAGAACAATTCAAGCTTCAAACTACAACGTTCATGTAGCACCCAAAACTCTAGAACTAATAAACTATGAGATTAAAGGAAGAGAAAAGAAGAAAAACTAGTTAGAAGCCTCCTCCAAGCGTTGTGTGTATTCCTCCACGTGAATTCTCCTTCAAAGTATGTTAGATCTCTCCAAAGTGGCGTCTCCCCCTTCAAAAATATGTTTAGTCTTGCTTTTATACGTGTTAGGTAGGTCTAGGGCCGAAATAACCTTGTCCCGAGCAAAGTTGGACAAATTTCACATCACTGGCGCCCTGGCTAGAGCCAGGCACCCTCCACGGTGCTGCCTCTTTTTTGGTTACTGTTTTTGGCGCCACATGTAGGGCTAGGCGCCACCTGTGGCGCTGAAATGTCCCATTTTTCCTGTTTTTGTCCGTTTTGGCTCTAATTTCGCACATTCTGCCCCTCATTGCTCCTGGATCATCCCTACACATAAAAACACATCAAATTAATATAAATTAACACATTTCACATCCTAAATCCACGAAACAAAAGTAAGATATGAGAAGATATACATACAAATATATATACTTTAAGCGAAACATCAACACCCCACACTTAGACTCTCGCTCGTCCTCGAGCAATGGGACTATCAAATAACCCCCCAACTATGTACAAGTCTCAATTATAGAGGAGTACTTTAACTTTTAATCACACACTATACCCTTGACTATGATCAATACCGGCACACGAGCATGAACATACAAAATTTCACATTCTTCCCGTTTAAGCATGCCTAAGTATAATATTTCAATTCAATCAGTTCCAACAACCTATTTGTCACCACCCAACCTCAAAAGCCGACTTGTAACCACTAAGCACCCTCAACTCATGCACTCACCCAACAAGAACGTTTACAACATCACCAATTATTCATGAGATCATGTGCCCTTACCAACAAACGAAAGAGTGAATATATACTAGTCCACACATTCAAATGTGCTTTTGAATATAAATTAAGGACATCACACAGTTAAACAAAATTCGCTCACTCTCACAAAGAATTCATATGCATCCCGTGGTCGTACCATAAGCTTGCTCGTAGTATATATTTCTATTAATTTAAGCTAGCCAAATCTAAGATCAATTAAGATTTTAAGGTTGTAATTTAGGCTAAGGGACATGTATGATACATTTAGAAATAGTGATTAAACCTCCTAAGCACTTTAATACACTACATTCACAATCCAAGCATATATTATTCTCAACCAATTCACTTGCCACAAACCATATGCACATAGCCCTTACTTTCATTAAGCATTTCTATACTCCGACTAGCACAAATTATTAAGAATTGGAGGTGTTACTTTTTTACATACTTTAACTATCATTTTTTCTTTTTTTTTCTTCTCTTTTTTTCCTCACACACTCCATACATTAAAGTTCATCGGCTAGTGACTTCTGATTTCAACTTTTAGTGCACCAACGAGCCTTCCCATGATTCCACTCAGAAACTACTCCCCAATCTCTAACCTTACTTCTTTTAGCGACTATGTGCCTTAGGAGTTAAAGGTTCATTCAATATCAAATTAAGAATAAAATAAGGGTATGACTTGTAATGTGGTTGCCAAAGAAAATGTCTATAGGCTCAAAGGGGCTGGCAACAAAAAATTTTTGTTTTCTTATGTGACAAGCACATCTATGATCAAGTAATAAAATACCTACGTCATCTCCTAGATTAGCACAACTTACAATTTCGCTTCGATTAACACACGGGACAAGTTCTAGACTACACAGGATAGCACAGAAAATCACAAATCCTCACACACATGTTGCACATGACTCAATCAAGATGCTTTTGTTCAACTCTCAAGTCAAGCAAGCACACATAATTGAGGAATTTAAGCAATATTGCACTATGTGGCATACGAGTCAAACAACTAAGAAAAAGGCGTCACAAAATAGGCTATTTACTTTACTTAGGCTTCACAATTCAAACCAAATATACGGGATAATAGAATGTATATCATAGCCTAATGTGCCCACATCAACCATGTCAATGAGTATCTCAGAGCAACTCAGTTTCTTCCTAAACTACTCCTAAAAAAAGTAAAGTACCCGGTTCGAGCTACACCCTTGAAAAAGAACCGGCGCCCAAAGAAAAACCAAGGGATACTACCTAACTATCCTAAAAAAAATCTTTTTGATGTTTTTAATCGGACTTTATCCCTCAAAAAATTGTCCAAAAGATCCATCATCGGAAAAAGTCCAAATTTTCTGATTTTTCATTTTTTTTTAAAACAAAAACTACTACACTAAAAATGAGTACTACAACTAAGCTAAGATAGCACAGAAAATCACACAGACAATCCCCTCACCCCACATTAAAATTGTGCAATGTCCTCAATGCACACTAAAAAATAACAAGAGGGTAAAAAAGATTCCCTGGTAGGCCAAAGGCTGAAGAATTAGCAGCTCATGGGATACTCAGACTTCTCCCAGGTATGATCTCTTGTGCGGGTACCTCACACTTAGTTTCAACCACCTGCTCGCTTTTGCACATACCTATTGGCTCTGACTCCATGCTCGTACTCCTACAAAATACAAAAGCAACACTACAAATAATAACACAATAAAAAAAATAAGCAAGAGTAAAAAAGAAAAAAGAAATTTGGGTTGTCTCCCAACAAGCGCTTGATTTAACGTCGCGGCACGACACCATCACTTTCACCGCTTTTCCTTCTACTTTGAAGATACGAATTGCGTCCTCAATTTTGCATCAATTTTTCTATCACGTTCCTGGGGCAATGGTGTAAAAATGAAGGAACCAAGCAATAAATATCGTTTCTTGCACTTCTTGGCCTTTAAGTGAGGAATGTCGTTTTGCCTTCTTGGTATGACAAATTTCAGAATATAAACGCTTTGTTCCTCATCCATTGATTCCTCTATATGATCGACTGAATCAATTCCCATGTCACCAACCAAACACAATGTTGAAAAGTGTGTAGAATGAGGTCCAATACGCTTCAACTCCAAAATTGCATTATTTTTGACATCCTCAATTTTGCAGTCTTAGTCAACCTTAGCATCATTAGTAATATTTTGGTCGAATAGTTGAAGTTCCTCTTTCCGCTCCTCAAGCTTGCCAATATCCACAAAAATTAGTTGTAGAGCATCAGACGCCTCAACCTTTTTATTCAATTGATCATACATGTCATGGATATCTAAGCCAAATTAATCTATCTCTTGCCTGAGCTCAGTTTTTTCGTCTATCAGTTGTTCTGTCATATTTGAAAGACCATCACGGAGAAACTTGTGAGATTTTATCAGTTGAGCTTGTTCCTCTAGCCAAGATTGACTCACTATATCTGTTTCTTCTAAATTATCTTCTGGTGGGAACTCGCTCTCTTCAGCCACTTCCTCCGCCTCGACCTTCATTCTCATGATTGCTGCACTAATTCTTTGTATAGCCTTTCGATTTTCATCTTGTTGCTCGGCTACTTGCCTCATCATCATGTCCTGTTGCTCAGCTACTTGCATCATCATGTCCATAATACGAGTCATGCTTTCCATAGCCTCCATTTCATTGCTCCTATCAAACTCATAAACATTATTAGAAACATTATAATAAGAACTCTGAGAAGGATAAGCAGAATTAGGACAACCATCCCAATGTTCACCTTGACAACCACACACATTACAAAAATTCCACACATTAGATTGAGATGCACAATTTTGCCACAAGTGTGGTCCTCCACAATATGGACAAGGATCACCATAATAAGAATAACCAATATTCGACCAATTATCATTCCAAGATGCCATGTCAACAAAGATAATAAAATATTAAACTAAGTTTAAAATAAAAATTAAAAACTTGAATAGGCAAAAAGTAAAAATCCAATCTAGTTAAATAGTTAATTTCTAAATCCCCGGCAACGACGCCAAAAACTTGTTGCTTCTAAACAGATATGCAAGTATACGTGATCGACAAGTAATATAGGATTGTAAGTCCTGATATCGTACCCACATGGACTTATGATTAACTATAAACTAAATCAAACCAAATAATTAATCTATTCAAGCGAATCTTAACGTATGAATATTTAACTAAAATTTATATAGAGTAATAAATTAAGAGATTAAAGAAAACAAGTTGGCGAATTATAGAGACGAATTCAATGCGAGTGAATATTCTAGAGCTATGGGTTAGCTAATAATCCCGTTGAGTTTTTCACTTAAATTGTCTAATTAATTTATCTCGTTTATTGGTTGACAAGGTTAATATTGCTCGTAGCCTTCTCCCGAAGTACAACTCGCCTATTCAAGCTAACCTAACGCCTATATTCCTATGGAATTAGGATTAACAAGAACACATTTATAATTCCCGTATAATAACCAAGCAAGGCGATTAGGTATATTCCTATCCTAACCGCAAATCTCTCCCCCCCTCCCCCCAGAGTTAAGATCTTGCTCTACTCAATCTTATATGCAATCTAGAATTCTCTCTCCCGAGTTCAATCCTAGATTCGTAGATAGTATTCAATTGGTGATCAAGCAATCAAATAATTAAACATAAGATTGAATAAATAAATCAATATGATAAAATAACAAGAACAACTCAAGCTTCAAACTACAACGTTCATGTAGCACCCAAAACTCTAGAACTAATAAACTATGAGATTAAAGGAAGAGAAGAGAAGAAAAACTAGTTAGAAGACTCCTCCAAGCGTGGTGTGTGTTCCTCCACGTGAATTCTCCTTCAAAGTATGTTAGATCTCTCCAAAGTGGCGTCTTCCCCTTCAAAAATATGTTTAGTCTTGCTTTTATACGTGTTGGGTAGGTCTAGGGCCGAAATAACCTTGTCCCGGGCAAAGTTGGACAAATTTCACGTCATTGGCGCCCTGGGTAGCGCCAGGCGCCCTCCGCGGCGCTGCCCCTTTTTTGGTTACTGTTTTTGGCGCCACAGGTAGGGCTAGGTGCCACCTGTGGCGCTGAAATGTCCCATTTTTCCTGTTTTTGTCCGTTTTGGCTCTAATTTCGCACATTCTGCCTCCGATTGCTCCCGGATCATTCCTACACATAAAAACACATCAAATTAACGTAAATTAACACATTTCACATCCTAATCCATGAAACAAAAATAAAATATGAGAAGATATACATACAAATATATATATTTTAAGCGAAACATCAACTATGAAGAGTGCAATACATAATTGGCTTGCAAAAAGTTTACCATTCTTCCCAACATTACCCCTTTCTCCTTAAGCAAATGAGAAAAAAGTAAGACAGTGATGAGCAAAAATGAAACGAACTAAACTAATATATTTAAGTTTGAAAAAAAAAAACTAATACATTGAAGACGAACACACTGACGAGCTACAGTAAGTAAATGCTAGTAATTATTTATTTATTGTTCATTGCTTTGATATAAACGTGTACTTCACCAATCTCATTTTATGTGGGAAATTTTCGTTTTTAGTTTGTTCAAAAAAGAGTTACTATCTTTTTTTATATTTAACTATCTTTTCCTATATTTAATTTTAAAATTAAAATTTTAATGCTATTCTTAAAAAAAAGTATAGCTCTACAAATATTTATAATTTATATGAAATTACAAGTTTCAAAAATATTTTTTCTAGAAAACTTGATCTTCACTGAAAAACCACCACATAAATGGGATAGAGGTAGTAATAAGTGGGCGTTTGGACATAAGAATTGTAAAATTTCAAAATAGGGTGAATTTTTTTAAGTGAAAATGGTATTTGAAATTTAGAGTTGTGTTTGGATATGAATATAATTTTGGGTTGTTTTTGAAGTTTTGTGAGTGGAAATTTTAAAAAACAGTTTTTTGGAGTTTTTTAAAATGCATCTTTAAGTGAAAATTGAAAAGTGTACGAAGAAATGCTGATTTCGAAAAAGAATGAAAATTTTTTGGGAAAAAAGATAAAACTTTTTATGTCCAATCTGGCTCTAAGTTTCTCCCTAGTAAAAAAGTGAGTGGTGGGATGGTTCAATTGTTTTAAATTTTAGGTACCATTATTGGCAAAAATAGAAAAAAGAAAAAAGAAACCATGTCCATTTGTTTGAAGAGATGACGTGTCGATTTAGATGCCTCACAATCCCCTATCGAAAAGAACACAAGTTGCTGACTTGCCGGATATGGGGATCAATTCTGTAGTATTATCATCTCAGCTTGGAAATAGATAACGTAACCTCATAGCTTCACCGCCTCCATTTTCGCCGGCGATCGGCGGCGAAATGGAAGCTCTCTACTCCACTATTCACTATTGGCTAGTTACTCATCCGATTATCACCAACTTCCAATGGAAACAAGGTTCCACATTCGGTGCATCGCCACTTTTCCTCACACTCGCAGTCCTCACTTACCTCACTCTCACTTTCTCTTTCGACCATTTCCCTCTTCTCCCTCCACTCTCCCCCACCGCCCTCCGCCTCATCTCCGCCGTCCACAACCTTATCCTCTGCCTTCTCTCCCTTATCATGGCCGTTGGATGCTCCCTCTCAGCCGTCCACCAAATGCCAAAAAATGACTGGACTTGGGTCATCTGCTTCCCAGCCAATCACACTCTTCCACGTGGACCTGTCTTTTTCTGGGCTTACATTTTTTACTTCTCCAAGATTCTTGAATTTGTGGACACCCTTTTGATCATTCTAAGTGGGTCTCGAACTAGACGGCTGTCGTTCCTCCACGTGTACCATCATGCGGTGGTGGTTGTCATGTGTTATTTGTGGCTTTCTTCTTCGCAGACTCTGTTTCCTGTGGCGCTTGTTACAAATGCTTCAGTTCATGTGCTAATGTACGCTTATTATTTTCTGTGTACGTTAGGAGTACGGCCATGGTGGAAGAGATTGGTCACTGACTTTCAAATTATCCAGTTTGTGTTCAGCTTCTTGATTTCGGGTTTGATGTTGTTCTATCACTTTACCGGGTCGGGTTGTTCCGGGATCCAAGGATGGTGCTTCAATGCAGTTTTCAATGCTTCCTTGTTGGCACTCTTCCTTGATTTTCATTCTAAGAATTATGCCAAGAAGAGGAAAGCTCTCGACAAGAATAAGCTGTCATGATTTTTGGTGGAGGGAGTTGTTCTAGAAGATAGTTTCAAAGCGTACATGAACTTATTTTTTTTGGTGTGTTCCGAAAAAAATGTCTATTTTTTAAATTTGGAAACAATTTAGCTTAAATTTTCAATTTTATCTCTAATGAAAACTTTTATAACAATACAAATACTATGACTCCTTTTTTACTTGTTTAGTACCACAAATTCAAAAAGTTTCATTTTTTCTTAAATTTCGCGTCCAGTTAAACATGTTCACGTAAATTAGAACGAAAGTAGTAGTTATTAGCCGTAGAATTAATTGAGTTAAAGCGCAAGTTGATCACGGACACCGCAATTACTAAAGAAAAAAAAGAATAATAATTAAGCTGTCATGATTCGATGGGAACTTAACTTTCATCTTAATTAATTTTGACATGAGCTCGACTTTAGCTCTGCCCTATTTGTAAAAGGTTATTACTCATTTCAGAATAGCTGAATTTGCATTTTGCATGTTACGTTTTCCATTTAAGAATGAATGGGAAGAATTGTCATTGCTATAGTTGCAGTACTGCTCGTTCCCTGTTTCGCTAAATTAAAGAACGAATAATTGGCTGTGCATAATTCATTTCTTATAATCTCTTTGTTTGCTGAACATGTAAAATTCTTTTGTAGGCATCTTTTCTACTATATATTGCTTATCTAGATGCAATGTTTCAGTATTCAAAAATAAAGAAAACAACAACAACAAACTCAGTGTAATTCTACAAGTGGGGGGTCTGAGGAAGGTAGAATGTACGCACACTTTACCCCTGCCTTTAAAAGACATAGAGGTTGTTTCCGGTAGATCATCAGCTCAAAAATAAAGAAAAAGACACGAATATAAATAACTGGAGAGCGACATTATCCTTCTCTACGTGGGATTGGGGTTAATGAAAACGAAATAATTAAAAGCTAAGTATTATCTAGCTACCGAACCGTGCGGGCAATAACGGAGACATTTTTCAGCAAAGGATGTCACCTAATCGCAAAATGTAAAAAAACATCATTTAGTATGTGTAAATAATATTTTATTAAAAAAATCAAATATATATATACCACACCAGCACCGCTTAGAAATAGTACAAAGTAAATATTAATTTGATATAAAAAAAAGTCCTAATTAAAACCACAATAGTACTTAAAGTTAAATTGAAACAATAGGCGAGTTATGTTCTAAATCCCATATGAATTTAGTACTGACACGAGGAGAAGATAAATGAAGTATACATAGTAGCTTAATCGGAAGCATTCATTCCGTGATCCTAAAAAATCCCATGAACTCCTAAGTCTCAATAAGTTGGGAGGCCAAATGTTTGGAGTAGGGGTGACAACTAGACGGCTTGGGTCGGATATGAGACGGGTCAAAAATAGCCAGATTTATAACTGGTCGTTTAAAAATAGCCCAGTTTTAAAAGTAATCGAAATTTAGCCACTTTTCATGTAAAGAAAAATCTGAGCGAAAACAATGTTCAAAACCCGAAAAATACGCCAGTATATTATACTGGAGTTCCAGCAAGTATAATTGTCCAATATAATATACTGGAGTTTGGAGTACCGGTGCTCCAGTCTCTTGTATATTATACTGGAGTTCCAGCAAGTATAATTGTCCAATATAATATACTGGAGTTTGGAGTACCGGTGCTCCAGTCTCTTGTATATTATACTGGAGTTCCAGCAAGTATAATTGTCCAATATAATATACTGGAGTTTGGAGTACCGGTGCTCCAGTCTCTTGTATATTATACTGGAGTTCCAGCAAGTATAATTGTCCAATATAATATACTGGAGTTTGGAGTACCGGTGCTCCAGTCTCTTGTATATTATACTGGAGTTCCAGCAAGTATAATTGTCCAATATAATATACTGGAGTTTGGAGTACCGGTGCTCCAGTCTCTTGTATATTATACTGGAGTTCCAGCAAGTATAATTGTCCAATATAATATACTGGAGTTTGGAGTACCGGTGCTCCAGTCTCTTGTATATTATACTGGAGTTCCAGCAAGTATAATTGTCCAATATAATATACTGGAGTTTGGAGTACCGGTGCTCCAGTCTCTTGTATATTATACTGGAGTCAGCAAAGTATACTGGTCCAATATAATATGCTGGAGTTCATACACAGGTGCACCGAACTCCAGTATATTATGCTGGACCGGTCTCTATTGCAGCAAGATAGTGGCTATTTTTCATTGACTTCGTAAACGCTGGCTATTTTTGAATGACCAGTCCGAAAACTGGTTATACCGTGCTATTTTTACAATAAAAACGGATAAATTATCCGATCCAACCCATATTTAATACAAATAAAAAACGGGTTAACCGGCGGATAGTATGTGTAACTATATTATCCATGACTTCTTGAATATAATCACTTTGGGAGAATTTCTAGCCTCCCAAACTTGAGGAACCCCTAATTCGAGGTTTTACAAATGTAAAGTTAAACCCATTAATTATCTATTTTCAAAATGGATAATATGGTTCTTATCTATATTTGACCCGTTTTTAAAAAGTTCACTATCCAACCCATTTTTAGTGAATAATATGGGTGATTAATTGTTTTGTTTTAACCATTTTGTCACTACTAGTTTGGAGTAACAAAATTAAACAGGCAATTAGTGTGACTCCTAAAAGATATCCCACAGTACATGTATTTAATAAAGGAAAATTAGATATCACGATTCTTGCACCTTTATGTTAATCTTGAATATTAAAAAAAAAAAGCTCACTAGTAATAGAGGGGGAGAGACAATTGTAACGAACACATGAGTGTAAAAAATGGTCGGAGGTAAGGAATAATCAAGGAAGAAGAAAGGAAGCCTTCTCTTGGCTGGCCACAGTTTCTAATGTTCACTCTCCGTTGCACGTATTCTTCTCTTAACTTTTGACATCTTTTCTTCTTCATATAAACTCACTTGTCCTACACTTCTTTCACTATCAAGGCTCAACTACACTAGTTAGAGTACATAATGCTCATGGCTTCCCACTTCACTTCATCTTCCCAAGTTTGGTTTCTCTTCCTTGCTATTGCCTTAGGTAACACATTATCTCTCCTTCCTACATTTTTCTAATAAGAGACCAAAAAGGGTAGCAAGATAGCTCTCTTTCCTCTCTTTATACGTGAATAATATTTCTTATCGTCAAGATTGAGAGTAAGAAAATCTTTCAACTTATTTCATTTTAGAATTAGTATAGTGATGACGCATTCTGTTTCTTAGTGCTCCGTCCTCCCTTGTATAGTAAGTGCTACTTTGGTTGCACGACTTTCTCTTATAGGGTGACTTGAATTGCACTTAGATTATTATTGAGTTTCATGCTCAAGGGAGGATTAGTGTTTCCCCTTTTCTTTACACTTGTTGATCATTTTATATTTGTGAGTTTTGACACATTTTTGTGTGACAGGGGTAAAATTGTCCGAGTGTGCAAATATTACCATTATAAACTATTGTAAAGAGACAGTATGGCCTGGAATTACACCTAAAAACAATTTCAGCGGAGATGGTTTTGAACTAAAACAAGGCCAATCTGCCGTTTTTACTGCCCCGACCGGGTGGAGTGGCCGTATATGGGGTCGAACCGGCTGCGACTTTGACAAGAACAATAACGGTACGTGCCAAACCGGTAGATGCGGAACCGGTCTAAAATGTAACGAACCGGGTCAGCCTCCAGCTTCAATTGCCGAATTTACCCTTGGAGAAACAGATTTTTACGACGTTAGCCTTGTTGATGGGTTCAACTTGCCTATAGTAGTAAAACCTGTAAATGGTAAAGGAAATTGCAGCTCTGCTGGTTGTGACAGTGATCTTAGGCCAAATTGCCCTTCTGAGCTAGCTCTTAAGCTGAACAACAAGACGATCGCTTGCCGGAGCGCGTGTAACGTCTTCGACACCGATGAATATTGCTGCCGGGGTGCATATAGTAGCCCAGTGTCATGTTTGCCTACAAACTATTCAAGGATTTTCAAAACAGCATGTCCTGTGGCTTATAGCTTTGCCTTTGATGATCCAACTAGTGTCATCACTTGCTCTTCTACTGACTATGTTGTGTCATTTTGTTCTTCAAGGTAAGCAATTCTAAATCTTCTTAATTATAAGTCCTTTTTTTTAGTAACAATGGTGTCAGATCAGCTTTTGACCAGAAGGTCGCGGGTTCGAGCCGTGAAAATAATTTTTTACAAAAATGCAGGGTAAAACTGCGTACAATAGACCTTTGTGGTAAGTCCCCAGGCCTCGCACATAGCGGGAACTTACTGCACCGGACTATCCTTTTTGGTGTCAAATCAGCTTGTGCACACCTTGACTATTTCACTAGCACTAAGTTTGGATAACTCCTCCACTAAGGTTTAAGCAGATCGAGAGAAATTGCTTTGCGCTTTCTGTCATTGTTGGAATTTGAACCATAGTCTTTTGTAGTTTTTATCCCACTTCATTGACAGGTCGACCAACAAAGTTGGATGAAGAAATCTTTTATTTTGTTGAAATTGCAGGAACCAGACCCAGTGTACTTATCAAGGCAAAAACGTAACATGTAATGGAGCATATGGATTGAAGTCACTCTTTCAAACAATGCATATATTGCTGGTTGGATTAACAGCAGTGATTAGTCTTGGAGGGGTGATGTTTTGACAGAATCTTGTAAAGATTCAAAACTTTTTTGAATACCTGTAGGCAACAATATTTACTTTTCTCATTCATATTAAGGATTTTGATTGCTTTTCCTTGTATTTTGAAATTTTGTTCACAATCTCGAGAGTAGAGTCTTCAAAACTGGGAAAACATCAATATTTGGCCATTTACCCAAAGTGCATAAGCTTAAACTTCACAGTAAAACTGCATGTCTGGGATATTATCTTTTTATGCTCTGAAGATGATAAATTTCCACCCCATTATAATGCTTTTTCCTTTTCAGAAGACATTCATACAAAATCAATTACCATTTCATCTAGGTTCCAACAGGCTAAACTATAAAATCCCACCCAAATGATACTGTTATTAAGAGCAAAAATGTTTTTCTGCTTCATCTTCAACCTGTCACTCCTACTGCTACCGCCAACTAACCGGATAAAGAACCAAAGACGAGAAAAGAAAATACTTAGAAGAAGATATACAATAACCTACTGCTTTAGCTGTTTTTCTGGTTTTACTACAACATCATTACTGGACTCCTTTCTTTGGCTTGGTGCATCGGACTCATCATCCTCAAATGGTAGCACGACAACTGGAGTGGCAGGCACCANTTTTGCTGCTTCATCTTCAACCTGTCACTCCTACTGTCACCGCCAACTAACCGGATAAAGAACAAAGACAAGAGAAAAGAAAATACCTAGAAGAGAATTTACAATAACCTACTGCTTTAGCTGTTTTTCTGGTTTTACTACATTACTGGACTCCTTTCTTTGGCTTGGTGCATCAGACTCATCATCCTCAAATGGTAGCACGACAACTGGGGTGGCAGGCACCATGTCCCACCGCTCCTTCAGAAGGCTCATGAATCTCAAAACCATTTGCCTTCGGAAAGTGAGTTCTCGGGTGAATGCATCAAAAATCAGGAAAGCAGCTATGTACTTGAATGGAACAATTAAGAGAATAGTTGCACCAAACAGTAGTGCCAGAGCAACTTCCATCGTAATCTGACAGATTTTGAAAATAAACTCAATTTAAGTGAAGACAAAATCGAGTATTAGATAAATAACATTATTACCCGAAGTTCAAGCATATATAGTAGTAGACTCAGCATTAAGCCTTTATTGACCCCTAAAATTATTACTCAAAAGTGGACCAAGATAAATAATTAGGACAATAATCTCTGTAAATCCAGAACATGCAGAATCGATCCCCTAAAGCAATTAAAAGAGATCCAGCATAGCCAATTTTTTTTAAAGAGCTACAACTAATTGTTAGAGCGGTGGTGAGGGGCTGCAGGATAGGAGGATGCGGATTGTTGATATATTATCACCCATTGTGGATTTAAGTTTAAAACCAGGTTGGGGTGGGGGGTGGAGGGGTGGAGTAGGGTTGGGGAAGGAGCAGGAGGTCATCCGAACAAGTTTCTAAAAGGAGTTAAGCTCTAAATTAAGTGCTATAAAGAAGCCAACATATCATATTAGCTCTCCCCAGAAAGTGCAACTTTTGGTCCCTCAAGAAAAATGATTCAATTTAGGTGATCGGATTTCTGAATGGTATTGGCATTAGGGATAGAGCTGCAAGTGATTGGGGATGAGAAGGTTCGTGTGATGATGAGTGGACAAGGGGACTACTGTATGTTCACTAACTTTAGCCATCGAGAAGGAAATGATTTAAAGAAAAAGGAAAGGAAATGATTTAAAAAAAAAGGAATCTTCTGACTTTAGGTATATTCACTAGCTAGTATGTTTAAAAAACAGGAGAAAAGTTAAATGATTTAGCAAACAGATTGGCTTAGACAGGTGAGAAGCATTCACCTACTGTTGCTTCTGCGGGGAATAAGATCGATTTAACAAATAGATTGGCTAGAATAATATTTACTTCATTACAGAGTTAGAACACTAAGAGCAATTTGCCCTTTTGTTCAGAACGAGAACGAAAAGATATATCACCTAAGCAACCAGACACCTAGGACATAATAATACAGTAGAAGTAATTCCAGTTGCCCGCCAATTTTTTGAAGAAAACAAATGATGTCTCTGCTACAATGTTAGGGAATTTGAGAGGGCTTACATAATCTATCTACTTCATGTGATCTAGTATCCTTCCAAAACAGCTATAATGATTCAAATAATTGAAGGGATTTACCCTTGCAGAGGATATTTAAAAGTTCCACTCCTAAGCTATTGTTATCTGTCCTTAGCAGGCATATTTTGGATAGCACACATTTTAAGCATAGCGTAAAGAAAAACAATATTTTTTCTGGCCACAGAAAGACAGACCTGATTCCGTAGCAAGTCATGTTAAATGGGAAATAACAAGCAGTTACGAAATTTCTCCGGAGATACCTGAGGTTGGCCAGCAAGAATGATTGCTCGAATCTTGAGCAGCGATACATTGAGGCTCTGCAGATATCTTTCCACCTCACGCAAGGCCTCTTTAACTGCAATAATTTTCTGTAGTGTGTTTGACGGTGGTTGATCACGTATTGTTACCTTTCCAAAATATCTTCCAAGCCGACCTTGTTCCTTGAGCCCCTTAAGTAATAACATGCCACCAGCCAAGACAATCAAGATTGCTGGGAAAACATAAGACAGCATATTCCTGGTCCCAAAAAACTGAGTGCTAAGTCACTGATTTTTTATTTTTTTTTTATTTTGGAAGTGATTGAAATTAAGGTAGATAACTTAGCAAAAAAGTCAGGAGCATGCTCACAAAATAAAGTAACTAAGTTAACACAAGTCAGCAACAAATTACTGTGATCCATCCAAAATATGTATATTCATGGGCCACATTCATTGCACATTGTGTCCTTTAAATAAAAGTGACCAAATTAACACCAGTCAGCAACAAATCACTGTGATCCTTCCTGAATATGTATAAATATTCGTGGGCCATATTCACTGCACATGTACTGGCAAAAATTTGAGAGTACAACAGAGTGTAGCACTTCCCATGAATATCCACAACCTGCAACAAGAACTCTCCAGAATGGAATGAATATGGTTTTCAGAAACTGACTAATTTTTGGATGATAAATGCTTTAAAGACCATATGGGAGTTTTAGAATGGTAACTAGAATGGTTTCTCTAATTAGCATGAATCTAATGTAAAAATTGGACGCAAGCTGGAAACAATCCCAGAAAATTGCAACTTCATACGATTCAAGAAAGATAAAAATCATTAAGACCAGTAATGAAATTATTTATCCACAAGAAATTTTCCGTGCCAAGAAAATTATGCATTCAGACTTTGTGATATTGTACGTATTCTACGCTTCCACATGTCTCATTAAACATTAAGGTATACAGGCAAACAAGATATCAATGTGAGTAGACTTCTTGACATGTGGCAATGCACTTTACCTGAATATAAGCGTATATGCAAGTGCAAGAGAAGAGGCAGTCAATAGGGGATCCTCCCAACGCCTAAGTTTCTCAAAGTTGTTTACCAAAACTGTTAAAGGAAACACAAGTTCCTGTCAAGAAAGGGGGAGAAATAATAATCAATATTACTGATAAAAGAACTAACTTGTGTTAGAATAAGAAAACACAGACAAAATACAACAAGGCTGAACTTGTAAAACCACAGATTTAACAAGATATTGCAGCCAATTTTCTTACAACAAAAACAGAAATCAATATTAGTGCCTGTCAAAAAGGGGAAAAATTTATAGCCAACTGCTGATGAAAGAACTTATCTGTGGTTAGAAAAACAAAGACAACATACATGATACAACAAGGCTGCACTTGTAAAACCACAGAACCCAACAACATATTCTTGCCAATTTCTTTGAAGAAAGAAAGAGAAAACTATCATTAGCAGCACAAACCGAGTACATTGCCATGTCTCTATCACATTAAGCTCCGCATGCAGTATTCTTCCACATGGTACTATGAAAAATGCCAGATTACAGTAATAATGGCAATTACTACTATGTTAAGAGGATAAGGGCCAACGGAACTCTTTGAATAACAAAAAAAAGAAACAGTGTATTTCCACAAGTGGGGTCCGGGGAAAATTTTAAACCTATGAATAATTTCAAAAAGGTCCTTAATTTTTTTTTCCTAAAGAAAAAGGTTGTTAATTGTTCTGGAGATATGAGATGTATATATGCAGACTAATCAATCAGAAAGTCAGAAACATTTGCAGATAGAAAGAAACAGGAAAGGAAAGAGGCAAGACAACCTTAAAAAGGTCAATGTTACTAGGTATCCCTTCAATCATAGCGGCATCAATTGTGGCTTGTGTTTTCTCTGCTACTTGATATTTATCTCTACAGGTCACTGCTGCCTTTTCAATCAAATTCATATCAGCGACAACAAGATTTTTACTGAAAACTATCCCCCGTTTCGATAGGGAGTTCTTCCAAAAAGCAAGTGAAGCACTAGAATCCCATGATGGAGACTTCATCCACTTTCGCAAGTACACACTTCCATCTATGTCAAACACATGGCTACTACTTTCTGTTGCCTCGTTTGTGGATTTAGGTGATCCCCGTGATTGATACTCTTGATCAGTCACTTTTGTAACCAATGGTCCAGCCCAACAATTAACTGCTAGAGTTTGTAATACAATGTCACCATAAGGTGCATTTTGCAAATATGAGAACTGAACCAATTTAGTTGGCTCCTCCAAGAGCTTTTGAGCATATTGAAGAGCCTGAAGTCTCCTAACAGCATTGGTAGCATAAGAAATTGCTCTTGCCTTCCCTTTCTGGGCACCATAGACATTGTACACTGATTGATCACCTTCCTCCGGTCCAAATTCTCGTATGAACTTGTATAAAGCAATTACTTCGCTGATGCATGCATACCAAACATCCCGTCTCATTTCTCCTCCCCAGTCCACAAATTCTAATACCCATGTGTCCAACCTGATACGAGTACAATAAATTTAAAACAGAATATATCTATAAGCATTTTTGTATCTGCTAAAGAAAAAATCCACTGCAAGATGCTAAACCACCTTAGAAACTGAACAAGTCAAAGAGTCAGTAAAATTAACCATTATTTTTTGTAAAGATAAAAGTAGTCATTATTACAAGTATGAATGCAGGTTACAGCTTCGGGTAGTAGGGGTTGGATATTTCATACAGCAACTTCCCATTCTTAATGGAAAAATGAAACACAAGGAAAAAAAAGAGCACATAAATGAAACGATAACTAGTTGTCCAGAAGGATGTTGCAGGGAGAACTTGACATCAAAACACAAGGAAAATAAACGAACAAAAAAGACATCATATGAAACTATAATTCCAGTCGGAGAACTTGTATAGTCAACTAACATGGGGAAGGACAAATGATTTTAGGATCGTCTAACATGCAAATCTAGGCTTGAATCAAAGCATGAAATTTGTCTGCAGTAATTGGGAGAAAGAAGAAACAAGGGAACATCTCTGTCCCAAGGCCGAAATGACTTTGACAAAGTGCCTAATAAAATAAATCGCGTGGTTAAGGATTCAGATCAGGTGCAAATTACTAGTTACATTCAGAGGCGGATCTAGGATTTCTAGAACATGAGTGCACCGCTAAAGGAAGGAGAGAAAAACTAGTAATAAGTGGGAATTGATCCTTGTTCCTTTGGGTAAATAGTTCAGTATTCAAC